GAGTGAGGCGCGGGGGCAGCACCGAGGGTTGCGATCCCGTTGCCGGTCCCTGGTCCGGTACGGGGGCGACACTGAGGGTTGCGCTCCGTTGCCGGACACGGAAAAAGACAAAAAAAAAAAAAAGAAAAAAGAAAATTAAAGCCACAGGGAGACATTGCTCACACAAAATAGAAAGGCTAAAAAAAAAAAAATGTACTGGGCCGGCCCTGTGGCACACTGCTACAGTGCGCCACTTGGGAAGTGCGGCAGACGCTCCCGCCGAGGGTTCGGATCCCACATACAGACCGGTTCCCGCTCACTGGCTGAGTGAGGCGCGGGGGCAGCACCGAGGGTTGCGATCCCGTTGCCGGTCCCTGGTCCGGTACGGGGGCGACACTGAGGGTTGCGCTCCGTTGCCGGACACGGAAAAAGACAAAAAAAAAAAAAAGAAAAAAGAAAATTAAAGTCACAGTGAGACATTGCTCACACTAAATAGAAAGGCTAAAATAAAAACAAGAAAAATCTGACAATACTAAGTGCTGATGCAGATTCAAAACAACTGGGACCCTCCTACGTTGCTGACGGGAATGCAAAATAATGCACCACTTTGGATAATGGTGTGGCTGTTTTGTTAAATGTACACGTGCCATGTAGCAATTCCACTCCTAGGTATTTTCACAAGAGAAATGAAAATATGTGTCCACACAGAGACCTGTAGATGACGTGTCAACCTAAAATGAGCGAGAGAGAAACCAAATCACCAAAGCAGAGCATTCAGTCGGGTATAGTGGAGGTTACAATCTGGGATATGCATGCTGTGACAGATATAGCACATCCAAGGGGTTTGGGATAACAGGGAAAGCTTTTAAAGACAAAGGGAGGAGTCCACGTAAGCTGTTTTGAAAGAAAGACCATTGCTTACAGGGGCTTGTTGCAGGAGTTAGCATTAGCTCCTTGGTGGAGGCAGATGTTGTGAGGCACGTGTCCTTGTGAAAGTAGCTGCAGTTTCCAGGAATTTCTTGTGTAGTTCCCATCAGAGACATATGTGCTAGGGCCCTTCCTTCATGGCCTCCCAGCTCTGTTTTGTTAGGGTTTGACATTAGTGACTCCATTTTGATACTGATAACTTTCACAAATGTTTATAGCTTCTTTATTTATAATTATCCCAAACTGAAAACAACCCAAATGTCCTTCAAGGGGATGAGTCGAGGGCCGGCCCGGTGGCGCACTGCTACAGTGCGCCGCTTGGGAAGTGTGGTGGCGCTCCCACCGAGGGTTCGGATCCCACATACAGACCGGTTCCCGCTCACTGGCTGAGCGAGGGGCGGGCGCAGCACCGAGGGTTGCGATCCCGTTGCCGGTCCCGGTCCGGTACAGGCACGACACTGAGGGTTGCGATCCGTTGCCAGTCACGAAAAAAGACAAAAAAAAGGGGAAAAAAATAAAAAAAAGAGTAAGGGGATGAATCGATAAACAAATGGTGGTATTTCCATACAATAGAACACTGCTTAGCAATAAAAGGGAATGAACTACTGATCTAGGCAACAACATGGATCAGTCTCAAAAGCATCAAGGTAAGTGACAGAAGCCAGTCACGAAAGCCAGGCTACATACTGTGTGATTCCATGTATCCTGAACATCTGGAAAAGGGACAAAAATCACATCAGTGGTTGCCGGGGACTGTGTGGGAGGGATGGACTGCAGGAGAGGGCACAAGAGAACTTTGAAGGGGATGGAAATGGCCCGTACCTTGATATGGAGATGGTTATACAATGGTACACATTTGTCGAAACACATGTAAGTGTATCCCTGCAAAGGGTGACTTTGCCTGTCTCAATTTAGAAAAACAGCCATCAGCAGCTCTGCTCCTAGGACAACTGCCACATTGCTCTGTCTCTGGTGGTTTATGGAGATGGTGACTTAAAGTGATGGCATGTCATGAGCCAACATGGAGCTGTCTCACTTAATAGGAGGCAGCGGGACCAGTGATCGAGGAGCATCTCTGCTCCTGATCTGGCGCACTCCCTTCTCCTCTTGGCTCTGCGCTTGCAGCCTGCTGCCTGTCCCCAGCAGTGGTTGCAGGGCTACCACAGGCTCCTGTGTCACCTCCTGGACCAACTGAGAGCTTGCATGGAAACCTAAGAGACAGGCTTACTGAAACATCCTTTCTGTATTCATCGCCGCTTTTCAGATTTCAAGAGCAGCAGCTACTGTGTGTGCTGATGGGTTGTACCAAATTGTGACTTGTTAAGAAATATCTTTTTTCTTTTCCCTAAATCTCTTCCCAAGCGTTTTGAAAATCAGAGAGGCGGGAAGGTTTCTAGAGAGCCAAAATACACATTTTGGTGCTGATTACTCATTTGAGTTCTGTCTGTAACAGGGAGATGAATCCAGCTCTGCATCGTGGTTTCACGTTGACTGTTGAGGCTAAATTTGGGCTGTGATTATCTTAGCTTCTCTTGCCACTGGCTCAGCAATACTGAGTTGTGTTATGTTGGGTATTTTTTTCATCCTGCTGTAAATTTCAAACTGACAGCAAGGCCCCACTGTAAGGGAAGCGAGCATGTGATGTCGCTTCCAACGGGTTGTGAAAATGCTTGCTTTTGCCTTTCTAAAAGGGGCAGATGAAGCATGGAGTTGAAGCTCAGCATCAGCTCCCGTGTTTTGATGAGCTCTGAACTGCCAGCCTTGCTGAGGAATTACAGCCAGGCCACACCTGGGCTGGAGCGGGTCTGTGGAGGGAAGGATGACTGATGACGAGTCTGAGAGCGGTTCCCACATGCCAGTGAGCCCCCTGGAAATCACACCGTTCCTCTGGACAAGGCTTCCCAGGCTAACTACCTTTAGGGGCCCTTGTTGTCACCAGGGCTCTGGTTCCCATAGGAGTGGAGTTATCTCAGCCTGTCTAGAGCTGTGGCCTCGGGGACAGCCCTTCCTCTGGGTGCTGCAGCCGTCTTCTCTCCCCTTGCCCATCTCTATTCAGGACCCATGTGTTTTGTCCCTTTGCAGGATTTTACCATCCCTCCCCGCCTTCCTGCAGACCCTTCCAGAGCCCTCCTCCTCACCTGGCTAACTCAGCGCAGGATAGGAGGAACTTAGGTGGTTTGAATTGTTCATAAATCGGAGTTAAACAGGCTGCACTGTTTATCTCTACAACCTGCACTGCAGAGAGAAAACTCTTCCTTTCTGCAAAAGCAGGCACATAGTCCATCCTGTTCTCTAGTAACTTCCAGAATGACTCTAAACACGTAAAATACTGAGAATTATCAGCCAGGCAAAGAGACTGTTAGAAAAAGTAAAACTGACAAAAGCTTGACTAAGATTTTTGAAGACACTGGGAGAAAAAGAATGAAAATAGATCATTTTTTGACGTAAAATACTGAGAATTATCAGCCAGGCAAAGAGACTGTTAGAAAAAGTAAAACTGACAAGAGCTTGACTAAGATTTTTGAAGACACTGGGAGAAAAAGAATGAAAATAGATCTTTTTTTTGTCATATTTCCTCTGGGTACTCAGGTCTCAGCTACCTTGTATCCTTTCAAATCAGTGGCTCAAAGAATGAAACATACGGATTTTCACCCCAAATTAGCTGTTTACATTTTCTCAATTATTCTTCTTATTTATAATTTACATGAGTTAGTTTCTCCTTCCATATTTGAAAAAAAAGTAGTCAAAACTGTCCTTGGCCCTTGACAAAGAGAAGAGTCTGAGATTTACTACAAAGACTGTCCTACCAGGAACTGTTTGAGAAATTGCCTTTAGCTCAGCCACTGTGGCCACGGGATCTTGGCAAACTATGTATCTTCTCTAAGCCTCAGTTTCCTTATCTGTAAAATGGGGACAGTTATTCTAGTTGGTAAGGGGTGGCAATATTTGGAGGTATGAAACACCTAGCATGTGCCTGACACAGAGTAGGTGCTCAGTAAGTGGGTGTAGTGGATTGAATTATGTCCCCCCAAAAGTCATTGAAGCTTGCTTGAGTTGTGTCTCCAAAGTTTTATGTGTTAGAAACTTAGCCCCCACTGTGACTGTTAATAGGGTGGGAAATCCTATTACGGTAATAAAAGGTGGAGCCCTGAAGGGGTGATTGGATTGTAGGACTGTGCAGTAGTGAATGGATTTAAAATGGTGGTCAGGGGTGTGGTTCTGAGGGCTTTAAAAGGAGAGGAGAGTCTCTTTCCCTCTCTGCTCTCTCTGCTTCCACCATCTTGCAATGTGAGACCCCTGGGTCACTGTTACAACCACCAGATGGACTTTGGACTTCCCAGCCTCAGAAACTGTAAGCAATAAATTTCATTTTCAGAAACTGTAAACAATAAATTTCATTTCCTTTATAAATCACCCTGTTTCAGGTATTTTGTTATAAGCAACATAAACGGGCTGATACAGTGGGAAGTAGTGTTTATTGCTATAATTTGGAAGTAATAATCATCCAGCATGTGATGACATCAAAGCAGAAAGCACTGAAGACATGTTTATACCAGCTGTGATCAAAAGGCCTTTAGCCAAGAATTATAAGATCATTTCAATCTGAGTTACTAAAAAAATATTTTCCTGTTTAAAAAACAAAAACAAAAAAAGCCTTTTAGTTAGATGTCACCTACTCAGGGAAGGCATTCTGGCCCCTCGGTGTGTGTGAGATGCCCTTCTAGGCATCCTCAGCCCCGTGCTTCCCTGCATCATAATACTTCCCAAGCACGTCTGCCTCTCTTTTCGACCCATGGGTCAGTTTCTGCTCAGTACCAGGCCTAGGGAATATTGAGAGGCTTCCCTTCACTGATTTGTATGTGCCTGTTAGGTAACAAGCCTCCTGGTTTTATTCCTAACAATGCAGTGTGCCTTTCAAACTATGGGGCAGGGGGAGCAGTAAGCACAACCCCTGAGGTGAGCATCTGGGGCCTGGTTGGCGTGGAGGCGTTTGTGCAGAAGCGAGGGGCAGGCTGTCCTACTCCCAGGAACCTCACGGTGTGGTCTGTCTCCTAGGTCGGGAACTACAAGCGGACCGTGAAGCGGATTGATGATGGCCACCGCCTGTGCAGCGACCTCATGAACTGCCTGCACGAGCGGGCGCGCATTGAGAAGGGGTATGCACAGCAGCTCACCGAGTGGGCCCGGCGCTGGAGGCAGCTTGTGGAGAGGGGTAAGGAGGCCACAGCACAGGGCACCTCAGCCCTGGCGGCGGCTACTTACTAGCCGGGGCTCTGGGAAAGTCATAGACCCTCCCTGTGCCAGTTTCCTCTCATAAGATTGGGGCAGGAGTGTATCTCATAATTATGGCTGTGATTTTTATGGGGGAGCAGCAGGGTGCCTGTCACCCAGTAGGCACAGGCTGCGTGAGCTTTTGTCCCCTTTCCTTGGGGACACAGGACTACTCTGAGCAAGCAGTCTCCTGTTCAGTCCTTGTTGTCTGTAGGACACATGCTTGCCAGTGTAACTCAGAACAGTTCGTTAAGGGCCAAAACTTGACTAAGTTCCTATCAAATAAAAGTCCTTGCTGTTCAGCACCTTGGTTTCTAACATTGAGAGCTGTTTATTTTTAAACTTGGCCATATAGTAAATCAGACAAGACTAGATGGTGACAGCCAGCGGGCTTTCTAATTTTGAATTTTAAAGGGAATAACCATGGGTGTGTTTTGTGGAGGTTTTGTCCCCTTTCCTCCTTACCAAAAAGCTCAGAAGATTCAGAAGCTTTCCTGTGTAGATTTGGACTGTGCTTAGGAACAAGCTTACCAGCAGCAGAGGGAGCGCTTCACTGATGACAGGATTTCCAGGCACAGAAGCAGATTAGCAGTTTCTTGGGGTTGTTTGGGCGTAACTCTTCTGTCATGACCAGCTATCCTCAGAAGAGCCAACCAGGGGGGCCAGGACCCTAGGTGAGGGGCCAGCCGTGTCTAGACCAGCTGCCTGTCCTTTCCCCTGAAGCTGAAATAGGACATGGTGGGGGGCGCTTAGCACAGTCCTTGGTGCAGGGAGGAGCCTGGCTGTGGAGCAACACACGTGGGTGAGGAGTAGCAGCACACTTGGGTGAGGAGCTCCCTCAGCGAATGGTAGCTGTTCCTGTTTCACTTCATCTGCCCGAGTCCCCTCTCTCAGGATCTGCTGTCAGCGCCGTCCCATCTCTTTATTTAGAACTTGAGGTTTACAAAGCACCCTTGCCACCCTCACCTTGTGGACCTGGCTGTGGTACTGCAGACCGAGGCAGGACAGGGAGCATATTCATTTTGCAGACACGAGGGATTAGAGGTTCAGAGGCGTCAAACTTCCATGGTCACATTTCCACTGTCCCAAACCCCAGAATTACGTGCCCCCCTCTGGGTTCTCACAGCCCAGCCCAGCCCATGCCTGTCAGTACTCAGCTCAGACAGTCACTGTTCGACCTTGAAGAAGGCTCTGGGTCTTCTCATTTGTCACCCTCAGTTCTGTCCTAGCTCTCCCTCCTTCCCAAGCCTCCCACCACCCCACCCTATTCCCTTAACAAAAATGACAGTCTGCATTAAGAGTTTCCTTCCTGAGCCTCATGGACTGCGATCAGTGAGTAGGGAGTGAGGCGACTCAGCCCCCTACCTTACCATGGAGAGATTTCCACTGGGGCCAGGGCAGGTTCCTGTCTCTTTCCCCTCCCTCCGCCCAGGACAGGGCTTCCATTCTGCGAGGAGACATTCTTCCATCCCACCAGCATTCTAGAGCTTCTTCTCTAGGGCAGAGTTCATGGGAGGGAATGAGAGTGGTCCAGGAGAGGGAGACAGGCACGGGGCTGGCAAGGGGCCAGCGAGCTCAGGAATCTGAGCACGGGGCCACTGCAGGGAAGGTGTGAGTGGGGGTGGATGCGGAGCAGCCTGGGAGAGCGCTTAGCTCACTTCAGGAGGTCCTCCCTTCTCTGGCCATCCTTGAGCAAATTAAGACTTCCACAATGCGTGGTCCAGGAGAGGGAGACAGGCACGGGGCTGGCAAGGGGCCAGCGAGCTCAGGAATCTGATCACGGGGCCACTGCAGGGAAGGTGTGAGTGGGGGTGGATGCGGAGCAGCCTGGGAGAGCAGCCTGGGAGACCTCACTTCAGGAGGTCCTCCCTTCTCTGGCCATCCTTGAGCAAATTAAGACTTCCACAATGCAAAAATTTGAGTTTTTAAAGAGCTCAGTGGCATTTAAAAAAAAGGAGATACATGTTAATTCCCCAATTTTCCTAACAGAAGAGGGGAGAGCAAATTCAGTTTCAGGAACAGGGAGAGGTGCCTCCCTACCTGGGCTCCTCCTCGCTTGTCCCCCAGGAGCCCCCAGCAGTACGCACTCCCCTCACTCACAGGGATTCCTGCCCGCTGCCTTAGGCACAGGAGGCCACAGCTAGTAGAGGAAAAGCCACTCCTCAGGATGGACACCTGAGTGGCAGACATTTACCCAGGTTTAAGACACTGAGTGCTTTATGTTCATCCTTTAAAGTTAATCCTGAAAAGAGAACAGAGCCACTGAGAAAAATTTCTGAAGCAACCAGAAGGAAACCTTCTCGTGGCCAGACAGCCAGGCCACCAGCCTAAACTCCCGTGTGATCAGCTGAGGGGGTTAACAGAGGAAATCCCCACCACTGGTCCGCTGCCCAGTAACCCACAGCTTCTCTCCCATGCCCAGGGCCGCAGTATGGGACAGTGGAGAAGGCCTGGATTGCTGTCATGTCCGAGGCAGAGAGAGTGAGCGAGCTGCACCTCGAGGTGAAGGCCTCACTGATGAATGATGACTTCGAGAAGATCAAAAATTGGCAGAAGGAAGCCTTTCACAAGCAGATGATGGGAGGCTTTAAGGAAACCAAAGAAGCTGAGGACAGCTTTCGGAAGGCACAGAAGCCCTGGGCCAAGAAGCTTAAAGAGGTGCCTCCTTCCTGCCGGCTGCATCCCTGCCTGGGCTCCTCATCGCTTGTCCCCCAGGAGCCCCCAGCAGCACTCCCTCCCCTCACTCCCAGGAATTCCTGCCAACTACCTTAGGCACAGGAGGCCACAGCTAGTAGAGGAAAAGCCACTCCTCAGGCTGGACACCTGAGTGACAGACATTTACCCAGGTTTAAGACACTGAGTGCTTTATGTGCATTCTTTAAAGTTAATCCTTACCGGCCTATTTTATAGACTTGGAAACTGAGGATCAGACTGTGCATTGGTGGTAGGGCCCAAAACTCAAGCTCTTAACCACTAACAGTACTTCCCAACCCTGGGGAATTTTCTACTAGAGAGACTGAAAAGTCCCTTTAGTTTAGCATAGAGGATTAATTTAAATTTTTTCTTTCTTTTGCATGGGTTTTTCTCCTAAATTTGCAAATGATACTGACATTCCTTTTTCTGAAAGTAGCAAATCAATCTGTCGGGCCTTGGCCAGCTGGAGGCTGTCATCCATTCCCTCCTGCCTTCAGCCTGGCCCCCCATTCGTCACTGGAATGGGGTGGACGGTGGTAGACGTGCTGCCCCCTCCACCTAGCTTCTCACAGGAGCTGTGCTGCCTTGCTTCTTAGAATCATCTAGAACATGCCTCTGTCTTTGGGTTATAACAGGCTTTCCTGTTCTCCCCATGTTTTGGCTTTTGCCACATCTCATTTCTCTTCCTTCTTGTCCCTGGCTCTATTCATAATGAAACTATTCCCCTGTCACAAGGCCATTGCTACACTCTTCTTTCCCTCTAGAATGAAATCTGTGGCTTTGGCTCAAATAAGGAAGCATCTGTTAAATCAGTATGCATACACATACGTGTGTGTGTGTGTGTGTGAGTGTGAGTGAAGTGGCCATTAAAACTATGCGAAAGGTGGCCTGTCCTCCTGCCTTCCCAGCAAAGCCCTCTCGCTCGCATTGGGTTTTTCCTTTGGAATTTCCTTTGTGTTTGCTGTTCCAGCTGCCTGGCATGCTGTTCACTCAGATAAGCCACACCTCCTTCCAGCTATTCTGTATAAAATCCTGTCAGCCACTGCCAGTGCTTTCTGTCTCTTGTCCCAGCTTTATTTTCCTCCACAGCACTTAACCACCTTCTGACTCTGGCATTTGATTTTTCCTGCATTTGCCTCCCCCAAGCTGAATGAAAGCTTCATGTAATCCAGGTTCTTTTGTCTTGTTCTGTGTCCCTGATGTCTAGAATCATGCACAACACAGAGCATGCACACAGTAAATATTGGAGTGAATTCCTCTGTTATATCTAATTGCAATTAGAGCGTATATACAATTTTGTACCCACTGTTCTCGTCTTGAGCACAGGCATTTCCCCGAGATGTTACTAGTGAGGATTCTGAACTTTCAGCACCGTGGTGTTCAGGAATTCATTCTTCTTGTAGGTAGAAGCAGCAAAGAAAGCCCACCACGCAGCATGCAAGGAGGAGAAGTTGGCCATCTCACGAGAAGCCAACAGCAAAGCAGACCCATCCCTCAACCCTGAACAGCTCAAGAAATTGCAGGATAAAATAGAAAAATGCAAGCAAGATGTTCTTAAGGTATGTCACACACTTGCTTTTACCCTTGCGTGTCAGTGTGTCACTGATCATGTATCTGGCACATGGTAAACCTTTTGTAACTGCTTGGTTGGATGGGTAGATAGGAGGATAAATATATCAAGAAGCTTAGCACCTTAGCTTTACCATAGCCATTGCCATTGCGCCCGCCTGTGATGAGGGGCAGATGAATGCCAAACTCAGGGGAACAAGGTTGGGGGGCCCTTCCCAGGAAATTTTGAAGGGTGGCTGGGATTGCTGCGGGGAGGGAGCAGCATGTGCAGGACACAGAGGTGTGAATGGGTGTGGCCAGTGGCAGGGAACTGACCCATAAGCTGTTGTAGAGGGTTGTGAGGAACAAATTCCTAATGGCCTTGACAGCCAGGTGGAGTAAGGAGCTTGGGATGCTGCTGACAGGGAGCCAACAAGAAGGGCCTGGAGCCCAGGGAGGGTAGGGCGCCAAGAGGAGGGTCATAGTGGCTTAGAAGGATTGCTCTGTTTTGTATGGAGCGGGCAGGAGAGCACGTCTGGGAAGCCCAGTGCACTGAGACCCTAGGGAAGTGAGGGCTGGGAGAGGAGATGGAGCTGTCTTGTAACCTCAGGAGTAACAGGATGACAGGCCCCAAAGAGCACAGCAGAGGCTGCAGGAGCTGAGGGTGCAGATGGTAGCATTCGACCAAGAAATAACAGTGCACAGGCCATGTGGGATCCTGGCTGTCCTTCTGTTTCTATCGTGAGGAGATTATCTGTCTCAGAGGGTTAGTGAGATGATCAAATGAGATGATTTTGTATAAGCACTTTGTAAACTGAAGTGCTCCACAGAGATAGGTAGTAATTTTTCCTGGAAAATCCTAGAGTCACAGGATTTAAAAACTACCCAGCATCTCCTTGTGATTTAAAAGTTCCCAGGAAGTGAGGGACTCAGCCCTTGGCCTCACCTCCCCTCCTTTGTTCTGATGTAAGGGGGTGGGGACTGGAAGATATCATTGCCAAGGGCCTGCTCTGTCCAGTGTTTGGAGAGAGATTCCCAACCTGGATTTGCAGAAGAGATGGAATGAAGTTAAAGAGAGGCTGCTCTCCAGGAACAGGCCTTAAGGGTGGAAGGGGAAGCAGGAGTCCTGAGCCGATTCCTTCCTACCCTCCAGCCTTTCCAGGCCTCAAATGAGCATCTCTGCACCCTTGTGAATTAGGCGGTGGCATCCCTGTTTTGTAAATAAGGAAACCAAGGTCAGAGAGGTTAAATCATGTGCTGCCCAATAATGTGAGAGCAGGGATTCTGACCCCAAAGCCTGTACCCTTCTCCACCATTCCACACTACCCTGTCGTCAGCGTAGCAAGGGGGAAATATCATCTACATGAGATCTCGTTATTCAAAGAAAGCATCAGAGCCCCTTGGAGAGCGGACCCCATTGCTAGGCCAAGAATGCAGCAGCCCAGGTGCCTTCACTGTGGGATCAGGTGAGGAACCTGGAACTGCCTGTTGAAGCGGGGGCAGCTGGGCCTGAGAAACATAAGGGCCAGGAACTCTAAGGCTTCTGCCAGGACCCTAGGGAATCATGTGCCCAGGAAGGCTCCTGGAGGAAACATGAAGCATCTGCATGTGCAGGGGTATGTGTGTGGAGCGGTGCCTTTCTATTTACAGCCACCCTGAACAGATACCACCAGATTGATGCCCCTGCAAAACACTTGCAGGGCACGAGGTCATACTCGAAGTGTCTGTCAGGATGATTGGGGCACTTTGAGTTCCCTTCAGGGGCCCTCCCTGCCTCTGTGACCTCAGGACATGAGTGGTCCTCGTGGGCTTAGAGTCCTGGAGAGGAGTTCAGTCCCTCCGCACCACCCTTCTGGAAGTAGTTTGTAAACCAGCCCTGACTGGCTGTGCATGTCCTTCCCCTTTCTTACGGGCCAGGCAGTGCCTGCGTCTTGCAGCATCCATCAGAAAGGAGCTTCTTGTGTTCATGCTGAGATGTTACAGTCCTCATGAGGGGAAGGCTGTCTCTCACTTCGCTCCATGTGTCCATGTGTGGTCTGCATGGGGATTTTTCAAATAGTGATGACTCTGCTCAGCAGCTGGCCTGTGCTGGGGCAGGCCTGGGACTCAGCAGGAGGGGCAGAGGCCAGGTGCCTGGGGAGCCCAGAGCAGGAAGCATCTCATCCTGCTGGGTACCCAAGGCCTGCCAGGAGGCTCCCAAGAGGCAGATGCTCTGTGTTGCTCTGACAGTATCCCCAGGATGTGGGTGCTTAAATGCACAGCTGCATCTCACGTCTCTGAGCTAGGGCTTCTACACAGTGTCCTGGGTGGTTGGAACTGAGCCATCTTAGGAGACTCAGAAGCTGAACAAGAAACCACTGATGCCATGAGAGGGGCAGAGGGCAGGGGTAGGGTGGGACCTGCTCTTGGGAGGTTGGGGAAGGCTTTGAGAAGAGGGGTCTCTTTGAAGCCTAAGGAGGAGTGTCCCAGGTCATGACTGTGGGAAGCATTATCTGCAAGGGGAGCAGGGTGGGTGGAGTAGATGCAGGGCCCCAGGAGCAGGCAGAGAAGGTGCTCCAGAGGCCTGCAGTGGCTCAGGGAGTACTTGGTCCTTCCTCAGAAGGCCTGCACATGTTTCAGGGACAGGAAAGCATAGCTGACCATTCCCCTCACTTCTCAGGGTCTCAGTACTGGAAAAACTTGCAATAAATTGTGGCCCCAGCCCTGCTGTCCCTCACTTCACCCCAGGAGGATATCATGGTCCCACCAGCTAGCAAGCCCACCTGGCCACCAGACTGGTGGCCTGGCTCACCACCAAGGGGTAGGTGCAGGGAAGTCTGTGCAAATGGGAGGTTAATAACCTCAAGGTACAGCCCTGCCAGATGAATGCTCTCATTTTAGCCAATTCTTAGGAATTTCATACATTTTCCAGCTGTCCCTAGGCCCTCCTGAGATAGGGCACACCTGCAGTTACTATTTCCTTTCTTGTAGTTCCCCTTCTCAGGGATAGCCTGAACAGAATGGCTGTGTTAGGGGGACGAGGGGGCTAGAGGACAAGGGAACAAGGGTTTTGAACACCTGCTTCCTGCAGCTTTGTGCCTGTTGTTGAAATATCAGAACACTGTAAAGGAGAAAGTGTCCCCATTTTCTGATAAGAACAGTGAGGCTCCAAGAAAACGAGAGAGCTTGCCAGTATTCGGCCCCAGGTCCATCTGGCACTTAAAGCCATGACCTTGTTTCTTGGGTGACTCACCGAGCCACTGCTGCTGGGGGCAAGGTCCAAAGGTCCAGGGTGACTCAGCATAGCCCTTCCCCACAGGGAGAGAGGACACAGGCATGTGACATGCTTGGGGACATGCACACCGAGCTCCAGGGTGACCAGGCCTTCACCTACATTTACCTGTTTAGGCCATTCAGGGTCATGCAGAAGTGGAGGGACCAGGACTTGAACTTGAAGTCTGTCAGACTCCAGAGATCATGATCTTTGGGTTTTGGAATCTAGGGAGGCCTGAGAAGCTCCAGGGTGGGTGGGGTGAATGGGGAGGCTGAATGGAAATGAGCCTTCATCTTGTGCCTGGATTTTCGTTTAGACCAGAGAGAAGTACGAGAAGTCCCTGAAGGAGCTTGACCAGGGCACTCCCCAGTACATGGAGAACATGGAGCAAGTGTTTGAGCAGTGCCAGCAGTTTGAGGAGAAGCGTCTGCGCTTCTTCCGGGAGGTTCTGCTGGAGGTTCAGAAGCACCTAGACCTGTCAAATGTGGCCAGGTATGTTTCCTTTGAGCTGAAAAACATCTGATGAAGTCAGTGAAAAGTTGCTTTTGAGTAAAACTCAGTTGCTGCTCCCGAGGCTCAGGGTGGCAGTGTTAATCAGAAAGTCTTCTCCTAACTGTTAGGTTGTCCTGCTTTTCTGTAATCTTGACGCCAGGGTGGGCTGGCCCTTCTGCTGAGCCCATCTGCAGCTGCAGGTGCTGTCCGCTGCCTGTGGAAGGCCTGGCTAGCCCAGATGATCGTTGGGCTGAGCAGACAAGTCATGGCACACTCTGCCAGCTCTGCATACAGGTCTGAGCAGGAAGGGAGGGCCGCCTATTCTGGGGCACAGCTAGGGCCAGCCACAGCCAGCGTATTTGAAATCTACCTGCAGATGAGTCCAGCATTTCCTGAGCTGGGTGTGCCCCGCCCCCAGGACAGTCGTACTCTGAGGCCCTTTATGAGGTCTTTCTCTTCCAGAGCAGCTTGCTGCCAACTGAGCCCTGGACTTCTTAGTGGTTCTGAGCCCCCTGGGGGCAGCATAGACCCTCTGAGATTCTGTTCTGAGTTATCATGACACAGAAGCCATGAGGTATTTTCTGCGCTTTCCTCATCTTTGGTCCTGTGACACCTTCATCAGGGTACAGGCTAGCTGAGGGCCGTAGATTTCTAGCAGAGCTGTTTAGAAATGAATCGCAGGTCAAGGCTTGTTGTTAATAGAAATTATGTTCTCTTTGTCTCCTTTTGTATAAAAATAATCAAATGCAACAATTATTGGGCAGCTACTCTGCCACCATCAATTAATCTTTATGACAGTCTTGTAAAGTAGGTGGCAATGTCACCATCTCATTGATGAGGAAATTGAGGCTGGGTGAGGTTAGATGACCTGCCCATGGCTGCACAGCCAGTGGGTCAGGGCTGCGGTTTGTGTCTAGCTCTTCTGTGTGTAGAATAACTTGTGACTGTCCTCAGCTGCAGGCCCAGACTTGGCATAGCTTGTCTCATTGAGTCTTCCAAGCCACCTGACCAGTAGATGGTGTAGCAGAGTATCAAAATCTGGGGGCTGAAAACAACAGAAACTTATTTTCTCCCAGTTCTGGAGCCAGAAGTCTGAAATTAAGGCATCACAGGGCCACGTTCCTTCTGGAGGCTCCAGGCAGGTCCTTTCTGCCTCAGGGAGCTCCTGGCGTTTGCCAGTGTTGCTTGGCGTGTGACTGCATCACTCCAGTCACATGGCTGGCTCTCTTCTCCTTCTGTGTCTTCTGTGGCCTTCCCTCCATGTCCAGTTTTCCCGTTTCTATAAGGATGCCAGTCATATTAGATGAAGGCCCACCCTAGTGACCTCATTTTAACTTGATCTCTGTAAAGACCCATTTTCCAAATAAGGTCACATTTTAAGGTACTGGCATTAGGGCTCCAACATCTCTTTTTTTTTTTTTTAAAGATGACCGGTAAGGGGATCTTAACCCTTGACTTGGTGTTGTCAGCACCACGCTCTCCCAAGTGAACTAACCGGCCATCCCTATATGGGATCCGAACCCGGGGCCTTGGTGTTATCAGCACCACACTCTCCCGAGTGAGCCACGGGCCGGCCCCAACATCTCTTTTTTGGATGACACAGTTCAACCCTTAACAGAAGGTATCACGCCCCCTCAACAGAGGAGGCCCAGAGAAGGTCATGACTTGCTGGCCATACAGTCTATAAATGAAATATCAGCTCCAGAAGTGAGACATACTCCTGCCCTGCAGAGCAGCATTTCCAGGAAGGTAACTGGCTTGAGCTGCCAAGCAGAGGGTGCCCCCACACCCTCTTGGTGGCGGGTGGGCTCCAGAGTGTCCGTGATCTTCCCACGCTGTATTTGCACATTAGGATGTAAACCTTTTAGCTTTTCTGATGGAGACGAAGGGATGAGGGGGACTTTCTGACACTCTCCAGTATTTTCTTCCACAACTCTGGACCTAATTGAATGGGACCACACTGAGTGGTGCCCATTTGGAGTGATTTGGAGTCAGGAGCCCTGGTCTACCACCCACTTTGCATGGGCAAGTCACTTTTTCTTTCTGGGCCTCAGTTTCCTCATCTGACAAATGGACAGGTTAGGCTTGACGTTTCTAGGTTGGCTCCTAACCTTGAAGTTCTGTAGCACAGCCTACATGCTGGCACTTTTGCATTATCTGATGCAGAGCAGAGTGCAATTGTTGTCAGCTGGTTTGATTTAAAACCTAGGGGTTGGAAGCTGAAGCTGGGGTGGTGGTTTGTCCTCCATCTGTGCATGTGGCAGCAGGGGGACCTTCCACCTGAGCCAGGGGAGAGGTGCTCCTGATTTGTGTCTATGAGGTCAACTCTAGCATGGACTGCAGGGACCATAGGGCCTGCTGTGGGCAGCACTGGGTTGGGACGAATGTGGCTGGTCCTTGCCTTCCAAAAGAGCTGTGCTCATCTTTCTAACTTAGCTACAAAACCATTTACCGTGACCTGGAGCAGAGCATCAGAGCGGCCGACGCGGTGGAGGACCTGCGGTGGTTCAGAGCCAATCACGGGCCGGGCATGGCCATGAACTGGCCACAGTTTGAGGTAAGATGTGGCTACGCACCCGTGACCCATCAGCGTAGGAGGGGACCTGGCCCCACAGAGCTAAGTTAATAGGATATCTTTCTCACTTCAGACTCTGGGTTGCCTTTGCCCTATTTATTAGGCAGCCTTTATGCATAGATAGGGTACAAACCTAGGTGATGTCTGGAGACTGGGGGGCTTGGGACAATACTGAAGGCCTTCTGAATCTCTGGTGAAGGTGCAATTATGTTCTTTCCAGTTAGGAACATTTGACTGTCTCTTGTTGACCATTGGCATTCCCTTCCTTGGGAGTCCCAGGAGCCACAGAATACACGGGAGCTTGGGTCTCTGTCCCACCTTGCAGGATGGCCAGGAAGCAAGTAGCCAGTGCCCCCAGACCTCACTCTCACTCACAGTGGACCAAGGAACGGGAGGTGGTCTCAGTGGGTGTCCCTCCTCACTTTCCACACTTCAGACAATGAATTCAATGAATCTTGGTTCAGGACCAACTCTCCTCTTTTCCCATTCTGTGAGTTTAATCTTTTCAATATCTTTACATTGCAAAATGTGAGGGCCTGGGGATCTCAGGATTTGTCCAGCCCTGGGATTGGGTCACCAGGCCCCACCTGGCTCACCAACGGCAGCATAGAATGCAGTGGCTGAAAATCCTGCCACCCCCTGTTCCCTGAAGGAGGGATTTTCCCGTCCTCGTGAGGGGCGCTGAAGCACATGGCATCGGGATTGGGAAGGTCTCGGCGAGGATGCTGAGGGTGACCTCTGCCTTGGGTGTGGGCCCCGTGGTTTCACCTGATCAGTAGCAGACTGCATTCAGGTCCTGCCTCATCACTGCACCTGGGATGCTGAGCAAACCACTTGCCCATTCAGTGACGCAGTTTACCCATGTATCAAATGGGAACGTCAACAGCACCCATCTCCTCAGGCTGCTGGGGGGATGCCGTAACCTGGTCCATGCTGGGTTATTGGCCCAGGGCCTGGCCTGCAAGAGCTGCCTGTTGTCAGGCCCTTGCCCTGGCCCACCACACAGAAGCCTCCTTGGCCCCTACTCAGCCTGCAGTTTCATCAATCTTCACGCCTGCACTTCTGTTTTCTGGACCTTCCTAAGGTTTCCCCAAAAGACAGTGTAGATCCCTGCAGCTGAGTACTCCCTGCACTTTCCTCAGGACTCAGCCCCAACAGGAGGCTGCAGAGCAGTCCTTGCCCTACCACGAGGCACTGGGAGAGGGTTGAGGGCTAGGGCCTTCCTGAGTGGAAGTGGCCTAGAGGAGACAAACAAAGCCTAGCCTCTGCTTCCCCGGTGACAGCACGCTGGGGAGAAGTGTGTTCATGTGGTGGCTTGTGCACAGCTGGGCTTCTGGTCTAGAGTGGGTGTTCGCTCCTCTGCATGGGTACAGGAAATCACCTATGACATTCACCTGGGTCTCTTAGAGGTGCCCGTTAATACCCAGAGAGGGAATAGTGAGGAGGAACGTTTGACAGGTGGTCTCACTGGGGTGGGTGTTCCTCTTGCACACATTTGCAGCTGTTACTGGGTCTCTTAGAGGTGCCCGTTAATACCCAGAGAGGGAATAGTGAGGAGGAACGTTTGACAAGTGGTCTCACTGGGGTGGGTGTTCCTCTTGCACACATTTGCAGCTGTTACAGGACTTTGCCTGACTTTCTCTAATGAAATTATTTATTTTTATTTTCCATGCCACAAGGATGAAGTAAGTTTCTATTTTATGACTAACTCCTTGAGTTCCAAACCCCCTGTAGTGTGTCCTCAGACCCCATGGATCTGTGTGTGTGGTGGTCCCCAGCCTGGTTCTGCAGCAGGCCAGTTCATGCTGTGTCATCAGAGCTGTTGACAGCTGACCCTTCCTTTCACAGTCTGCTTGATGTTGACCCCTCGCCCTTGGAAGCTGCCCAATCTGGATGGATTTATATTCAGAGGTCACTGTGGGGAACTCTGGGTTCCAACTGAGTTCTCAGTCAACTTATTTTCAGTCTGAAAAATAATTAATAGGCAAAAGGTGACCTGGATTTGGGGTCAGGGGCCCAAGTCTGCTACCCACTCTGCATAGGCAAGTCACTTTTTCTTTCTGGGACTAAGTTTCTTCGTGTGACAAATTGACAGGTTAGGCTTGATGTTTCTAGGTTGGCTTCTAACCTTGAAGTTCTGTAGCTACATGTGAGCCAAGCTGTGGCCTCAACCATACCAAGTCTTAATTAAAGTTGTTTGATAATGGGTAGAGATGGGAGGGAAGGAGAATTTATTAAATTCAGAGGCACGTGCACACATAGACGTGTGTGCACATACATGCAAGTACTTTTCTGGAAAATCAAGGCACAGTCCCCTTTCTCCTTTTGTCCCCACTTCCTCTGTTTTTCAGCACAGTCACAGCTAGGAAAATAGGGACCTTCTAGGAGATGATACTTTGCTTGGTTAGCCCCCAGCATGCTGTTCAGATTGAAAAGGGAAAGTTGCAGGGAAGGAAAACACACCTGGGTGGCTTCTCCCCTCACAGACTGGCATAAGAGTCCACTCATCTGCCCCTTTGTTTTATGAAGTGACCTAGCCCCTGACTTTATTTGCAGTCCAGGGTTCAGTTTCCCACGGTGTAGGCTTTCTCAGGTTCCCACAGCCAGCTGTCTCAACGCCATGACCCAGAGACAGTTTAGGTCATAAATAGGAAGGATCTTCAGCACTTCAGACAAGGCTGCATGGCCTGGCCAATCTCCTCAGAGGGCTGGTTCCTGTCTACTTTGGGAGATTTGAGGGACACCTGGTGAAGCCACTGGAGCCCATGCTGGCCTGAGGGGACTGGAGGCTGAGAGCCAAGATGGGTGTTGACAGGCCTCGGAGGCTCCTAGGGCTGTTATGTAGGACTCCACGTGTTAGCCTTGGCCTGTTGTCACTCGCCCTGTGTCCTGGAAAGTTTCCTCCTCCGGGAGGTGGCTGCCACAGGCCAGGGTTGGATGGTTGTAGAGGTGAGCAGTGAGGAGGGGGTCAGGTCGTTTGGTCCACAGGTGGGCGTTGGGGAGCCTGCGGTCTGCTGGGAAACAAGGGAGAGCAGAGACCTTGAGGCTAAATGTCACTAACCATGCAGGGCAGAAAACTGGCTTGCTGGGTGGGCATTTTAGACTGACATGGCTTCCGACAGAGAAACCTCATGATTTCTCTCCCTTGGCACCTGTTGCCTAGGAGTGGTCTGCAGACCTGAATCGAACTCTCAGCCGGAGAGAGAAGAAGAAGGCCACTGATGGTGTCACCCTGACGGGCATCAACCAGACAGGCGACCAGTCTCTGCAGAATAAGCACAGCAGGTGAGTGGGCACAGCCTTGATCTGAAAAAGGCCTTGCCATGGGAGGGTTTCCCTTGGGTCATCCGCGTGGTCCTGGGACAGCCCCAACTTGGTCACCTGGGAGATTCCCCAGTGGCACAGGGACCCCCATGGATGTCTTTCCAGTGGCTTCCTGGGCCCCTGAGCTCTGTAGGTGGTGGCCCAAGGGTGTCTCTGAGGAGGATCATCTTCTGCCTAGTGCTGGAGATGCTGAAAGATGCAGAGAAGGAGCCTTTGTCACAGATATGCTTTATTCCTGAGTGAGGGGAGGAGCTGGTATCAGGCTAGTCATTCATGTCTCCAGGGGTGGCACCACCCTGCAGGGACACGGGCAAGTGGAGGTGCACCATTGCGGGTTCCCTTCAGGCGGTTCAGGTGCTGCTAAGGTTTGTGTTTACTTTCTGTGTAAGCACCAGTCGAGGGAGGGACAGGAGAGGACTGTCAGGTGTCCCCATTTCAAATCACCTCTTCACTGAGAGTGTTGGTTTTTTATGACTTAGTCGTTGGCTAAAAATAAGTTGTGGATAGAAAGTCCTTAGAACTTTCTGGAAAGTGTGTGCTAGAAAGCGTGTCCTTCCTGCAGGACCTACCCAGAGGCTTCCATGCCATGCATGGTAGTAATCACCTTGTGACTGGGACTGGTTGTCATTCAGCTACTGCGCACACTAAGTGCCCGTCCCAGGGATCAGGCCAGCACCTGTGTGCCGAGGGGCGGGGGAGCAGGAAGGATGAGACACTGCCTCAGAGGAGATGCTGGGGCTCGAGGCTGGCCCGACTGCTGCACACACTCAGCTGCCCAGCACCAGCCCCTCTCACAATAGTCTGCTAGAGAAGGGGGCCAAGGAGCGGGGAGGGTGCTGGTCTCAGCATATGCCTGGAATGTCGGCAGCCCTCAGACTGGGCCTGGGCCCCCTCACCAGACCAAAGCCAATGAGGCAGTTGCTGGCCCCTCGGGGTCACTGGTGACATTTGAGGTGTTGCCTCTCCTCATCTCCTTGCACTGGGGTGGGATGGTGGATGCTCAGAATCATCCATCAGAGCTTTGAATGCCTGTTCCCCAAAGCCCTGGACTCAGAGGCTGGGGTCGTCCATTCAAGGGAGGCCTCATCCATTGTTAGTTATGTGGTGGCGTTCTAGGACTCCCAGGGGACTGCCTCATTTTTTCGTTGTGGTCTCCTTTATGGTGCCTAGCACCCTGCAGTCCCTTCATCCCATCTTCCCCGACTCCCAGCCCTCAGGCCAGGATTAGCTCTGATTTCTCTGGACTCCACTCTGGGCCTGCACACAGTAGGTGGTTGATACAGTTACAGATGGATTTTCTCTCTTTGGCGCCCCAAAGAAATCCTTCTTTCTGCTTAGAAAGGGCTGCACTGCAGGCCTTGGTCCTGATTTTGGAAGCTCCAGCCTCAGGAGAACTGGGGAGCCAGTGCTGAACCCCTTAGTAGTCAGAAGGAGGGGGCACTGCACTGTGGGGCCCGGAGCACTCAGGACCCCCCCTTCCTGTCAGCAGGATCGAGCCTCCCTCCCAGACTGCCACCCTTCTAGGGCACCTCCACTGCCCTGTGACTCACCTGTTCATAGCAGCAGGAATGAGAGATGGGGAGCCCCAAGCCTGGAAAACAGTTCTGCTCAGCTGTGGTCTGTCACCCTTGCCCCAGGGCCCCTATTCTGGATTGACCACATCCAGATGCAAGCAAGGAAAGGGAAATCTTGTTCTCTCTCAAATGCTTTATGCATGTTTAACAGCCAAAGTATTGCTACAGGTTTTGCTAAAATAATCTTTCTGTTCAAACAACATAGTCTTCCTCCAGTCAGATGAGGGGCTGTTTTGTCCCTTGAGTTCCTGGCCACCGTGATCCTCCAGCTGGGAGTCACCAGGACCCTCGGCGGGCCCTGCCGAGCTGGAATCCCCTGAAAGCTCTCTCTCTCCCCATAGCAACCTTAGTATCCTGAGCAACCCTGCCCAGTCCGCGCAGTCACAATCCAGCTACAACCCCTTCGAGGATGAGGACGACACGGGCAGCACCGTCAGTGAAAAGGAAGACATTAAGGCCAAAAAGTTGGTGAACCGACACTTCTGTCTGGTTTCTACTTCGCTCACTCTGTCTGCCTCCCTCTCTCTCTCTCTCTCAGGGTCTTGCCCCCTTGGCACTCAGAGCAATGCATGAGGCCTTGCAGGCAGTGGGTACCTGCCACACTGCACACCTGCTGGCTGCCAACTGGTGGACAGTCTCTCTGGCGTCTCCATTTCTCGGGAGGGCACAGCTAACAATCTTTGATTGCTTTTTCTCTGTCTTCTGCTAACCCTTCAAGGCCCCAGTGCAGGCAGTGGGTACCTGCCACACTGCACACCTGCTGGCTGCCAACTGGTGGACAGTCTCTGGCGTCTCCATTTCTCGGGAGGGCACAGCTAACAATCTTTGATTGCTTTTTCTCTGTCTTCTGCTAACCCTTCAAGGCCCCAGCACCACCACCACAGGAAGACAGATGGATGGGGGGGTTCTGTGCTGGGGGACCTGTGGAGCAGGCCCCTGGGTCTGCCTCTGCTGAGTAGTGGTGTGGGAGTGTCCCACCCCTCAGGATGAGTGTGGCTAGCATGGATTCTCGCCAAGGCCTGGCTCCACCCAAGCTGGCCTTCTGGAGGGAGCTGTGCTCCTTTGGAAGCAGCCCCCAGCCCTGAGCCCTGAGGCTCCTGTGCCCTCCCTTGGGGCAGAGGCTCTGGGCGAGGGCAGGGGCTCTAGTGGGGGCCTCCCACCATCTCCCATTCCTATGCTTAGGGCCCATGTCAACCCCTTTTTGCAGCGTGAGCAGCTATGAGAAGACCCACAGCTACCCCACTGACTGGTCGGATGACGAATCCAACAACCCCTTCTCCTCCACGGATGCCAACGGGGACTCCAATCCGTTTGACGAGGACACCACCTCGGGGACAGAAGTGCGAGTCCGGGCCCTCTATGACTACGAGGGGCAGGAACATGATGAGCTGAGCTTCAAGGCTGGTAGGTGGGCTCCCAGCCAGCATCCCAGGGGGATGAGTGTTCCAGCCTGCTGGGGGAGGGGGTTGTCTATTTTGTTTTTTAAGTCTGGTAAAGTTCCTGCTAGTTTCACTTGTGGGTGCTCACTGCCCCACTTCCCCTCCAGTTTCAAAAGTAACAGATGCTCAATGCCCAAACTCAGAAGACAGTGAGGCACCCTAGTGCCTTTTCCTGGGATACCTCCCGTTGCTAGGCTGAGTCTGGGACCAGCAGGGCACTGGCCTGCCATGCTGAAGAGGGGTGGCTGGAGCTGTTGGCCAGTACCACCAGGAACCCCCCATGCACTCTGGGAGCATCCAGCCCTGCAGGTCCCCAAGGAGGCTTTCCTCCAGGGGTCCCGGCTACAGGTGAGTCGAGCCACAGCCTTGCCCAGACCCCAGTGTCCCTCAGCACAGCCCTGGGCTAGGCAGGGCCTTGTCTCAGGCAGTGCCTTTCATACATTCTTCCTGGGTCACATTGAGTACACATGTCTGCCCATGTAAACCTGTGCTGCCAGTAGCTAAAACCGTGGATACAGAACAGTTGGATCCTGATTATCTGGGCTAGGCAGGGCCTTGTCTCAGGCAGTGCCTTTCATACATTCTTCCTGGGTCACATTGTGTACACATGTCTGCCCATGTAAACCTGTGCTGCCAGTAGCTAAAACCGTGGATACAGAACAGTTGGATCCTGATTACGTGTGCTCTGCCTGCAGAGATTTTCTATCCTTTGTCTTTTTGTTATTTAAATGCTGGTTGTATTTCACCAAAATGGGCTGCAACCCTCCATTGAAAAGCACTATCTGTACCGGCCAGCCTCCAGAAAAAAAAAAAGGGTTCAGATCCCTGTAACAGCCAGTCACAAAAAAAGAAAAAGAAAAGCACTATCTTATAGCCTGTCTAAGGAGGCCAGAGTGGCTTAGGGCCAACACAGTGGGCCCACAAAAACCCATGTTTCTGCCCTCAACCTCGCCCTTTCCTTGAAGCCACCCCAGCACCAGCATCCATCCCTCCAAGAAGAGGGAGGCTGGGCCAGAATCCAGCCAACGCGGGCCGAGGCATGCCCCTTCCCTCGGCTAGACCGCTGGGGAAGACTGTCGCTTCCCCTACCCTGACTCAGCTGTGCCCAAAGACCTGGCTCCTAACCCAGCCTCAGCTTCCTCTCCAGCACCCAGCAGTGCCACCAGCTGTCTCCAGACATCATCCCAGGGTTGGTCGTCAGGTGCCTCTGGCTAGTTTTAGAAATTTTTTATGTGCCTTTAAACCATCTTCATCCAGTTTTCTGATATCTTTGGTTGGGGTTGTTAACCCCCTACTTTGCTGATTTATTTGTTTTTAATTTCTCATTTCTTCTTCAATCTTACCTGTTGGGTTTGACAGCAGTTTTACAGATTTAAAATGTTTCCTTCAGCTCCAAGTACATTGTCAGAAGCAAACTGATTGTAATGAACGTTTCTACTTATTGGTTCGCGTTTTTACAACTTGAAAGCTTTCCTGTCCATTGTGTCTGTTTTCTGCATTATTTTGCTTTCTTATGATGTAAAATTAGTTCCCAGCCAGTGCTGCTTGTCTTATGTCTGCAGCAGTGCCCTGGCTGCTGCCACTTCTCACCTCACGGTGGTATCACGTGGCCAGCACCCCATCCTACCCTCTGCAGCCTCTGTGCAGATGCTGGGAGCAGCAGCCTGCGAGGGCGGGAACAGAGAAACGCCAGTGTCTGGCATGGGCGAGAAGGGAGGGGGAACATGGTGGTCACTAGGATGCTGACCCTGTAGCCCCTGCATTTCCTCCTGATGCTTCTCAGGCAGATTTGCAGGAGACCCGGTCCAGACAGAGTGAAGTCACTGTCTCTAATGTGGGAATAACACAGCTCACGCCAGTCAGGATCCTTCCATGTTTCAACACTTAATCTTACAGCACCCCCAGTCTATGGATGAGGAAAGCAGACCCCAGGCAGCAGAAGCAGGTTGCCCAGGTCTCCCAACCAGTCAGTGGTGGCTTTGGGATTTGAACCCAGCTCGTCCTGGGAGCACCCAGGAGCCCCAGGCATTAGCTGCACGGGCATCCTGTATGGCGACACTGCCATACAAAATAAAAATGTCAGGGAAGTGTTGCTAAGCAACGCATAATTGCCTGGGGGGAAATTATATCTAATTCTGAAAAATGGACTGAAATGCCAAAGAGAAATACAAAGCTGCAAACTTAATAAAGACAAAACAGCACCTGGGACTGTTTTCCACCCTTGCCAGCTCCTGCTGCTCGCAGGTTCTCCAGCCTTCTCTGCAGCCAGTTCCCAGCCAGAGGCACTAGGTGCCTGCCCGCCCACCGCAGGGCCCTGGGCTGCTCTGCTTGCCCTTGACAAGCAAACGCCAGACCTGGGGGCCTGCCCTGGGGCCACTTCCCCCATGGTTGCCTTGGTCACACCTTTGCTCTTGTCCCCTGATCTGTATCCTTGTGGGACCAGGCTCCATCTGCTCCTCTCTTCTCTGTATCTCCTCTTCCACCCAGGGCCTGGCCCGAAGTAAGGGCTCCTTCAAGTGTGAATAAATTAAAGATAAACCACACTAACATGTAGAGCCACAGGGAGATTCCAGAATGTGCCAGTGGCTCTCGTTTCAGGGTGTCAGGAGGGGTTGACAAGTGTTGTCTCGCATGATCCTTGAGCCTGGTATTTGGATAGAATAACAGGTCTGTTGGTCAGGTGTGGCCCTGCCCTTCACACAGCCCAGAGTTTGGCAGAGGAGAGATTAACAAAGATGCAGAGACCACAGCAGCAAGTGTTGGGAGACACACATGAAAAGCGAGCCAACTGGGGCCAGTGAGGGAGATAGCAGTGGAGGGTCAGGGACAGTCGGGAAGGCACAAGGCCTGCAGTCTCTGTGGGAGCCATGTGGCAACTGCGGGTGGCTTGCCCCTGCGAGGCTGTCAGGCTTTAGGTCTCTCAGAGGCCCGTGACCAAAGAAGCAGCTTAAAGTGCAATTTCGTAGAGGAGTAACCAGGCTCTTGCCCTGCCCCCAGAAGAATGCCTGCCCTTTCACCCAAGTTGGAGACCCCCGTGGGCCTGGAAGCACGTTGCAGTGTGGGGCTCAATGTGAGGGCGGCTCTCTGACCCAGCGGTCAGTGTCACTGCCCTGTCACCAAGACTGCTTCCACTTTATCTTGCAGGGGATGAGCTGACCAAGATAGAGGACGAGGACGAGCAGGGCTGGTGCAAGGGACGCTTGGACAATGGACAGGTTGGCCTGTATCCAGCAAATTACGTCGAGGCCATCCAGTGACAGGCCAGTGGGCAGGCTGGCGGAGGGATGGAGGCAGCTGTCCCAGGAGCTCCGTTAGCCATTGGCCCGGGCAGTGGCCCCTCTGGCCCCTCCAGCCAGCCACGTGGGTGTCCATGCCTTTTCCTGCAAAAGATGGTTCTGTTGCTCTTGGCTTCATGCTCTTGGCTCCCATGAAGGCAGAGCTGGTCACTTCACCTGGGACTCAGCACCTTTCCAAGTGCAGCTGGAGGGATCTGAGCACAGGAAGAGGCAGTACAACAGAGAAATACCTGGGCCCTCCTTCTGCCGCCCCACTGTCTGTGTGTTGGCTTATCATGGGTCTGTATGTTCTTGACCTTGTCTCTCCTCCCTCCAAGTCAGTGGTAGGTACACTGATTCTTGCTCCACTGATTACTTTCTCTGATGAGTCCCATCACCTGCCACTAAATGAACAAACTTCCATGCCATTTTCCGAGTGAAGATTTTGAGGTTTTTAATTTAAGGGTATGTACAGTTATACTTTTTTATATACCTGTTCTTCCATTCATTTATACTTAAATTATGGCACAGTGATGTACACCAGTCTAGAGGAAATGTGTCTCTATTTCCACGTTGTGCTGTGAAAGCCATGCCCCTGCATGGGATGAGCCGCAGGTGATGTAGCTCATGTTGACAGATGATGTTTGAGGCAAGAGATTGTAGTAGGAAGATGGGAACGCGTTAACGGTTGTGAATGCTCTTTATGCATTCAGGGCATCTGAGTGGGGGTTTCAGAAATAACCTTATGTAGTACTCTATTTCCACGTTGTGCTGTGAAAGCCATGCCCCTGCATGGGATGAGCCGCAGGTGATGTAACTCATGTTGACAGATGATGTTTGAGGCAAGAGATTGTAGTAGGAAGATGGGAACGCGTTAACGGTTGTGAATGCTCTTTATGCGTTCAGGGCATCTGAGTGGGGGTTTCAGAAATAACCTTATGTAGTAATCCCCAAAGTCACCATATTTAAAAATTATTTTCACTCTATTCTTGCTTAAAACTTTATTATTTTGCTAATTAACAGTTTTAACAGTGATTTGGGAGGTTAAAAAGTAGGACTTACTTTTCAAGCAAATGCATCTATAGATTAAGATGCTTTATATATTAGACTGTCATGTCTTGGTGTATATCTGTATATATTATTTGATATTCAGAGAATCTAAAGAGCTTGTCTACTGTTTTAATGAGATTTAACAGTTTCAACAGTGGGTTTCGTTTGTAAACTGCTTGAAGTCCGTGGCACGCGGGCATGGGCCTGGCTGGTTGGCTGGGCCCCCTCCAGGCTTGGACGTGGGCCCCAGGACTCTCCTAGGTTGAGGCTTCTGCAGGGCAGGCTTGTCCTCGCTGGCCAGCAGGGATCCACCTTCTGACTAGACTCAGTCCATGGTTCTGTAGCTGAATACTGTAAAAACGCCGTGTCTTTGCAGCAGTCGCAGATTTCACAGTCATCCATGTTCCTAATGAGCAAACGAAAGCTGGGTGTCACCCACAGCACAGGCCTCCCTAAGTGTCCTGGTCGCCAGAGAGTGGGGTACCGTGGCCAGAGCTGTGCTGTAGTCACACAGGGTGGGTGGGGTGTGGAGAGAACCTTTGTTTTGTGTAACTGTGACAGTGGTGCCACCATTGTCACCATCATAAGCTATGCATTACCCTCCTCAGCATGTCCAGTGAGCCTGACGTCTTGCTTGGAAAGTGCGTGTGTGTCTGTATCTGTCATGAAAACTTACCAGCAGAAATCCTCATTCCTGTGCTACAGATTTACCAAAAATTGTTGTCTTTTAAGTTTAGGAGTTCCTTTAATTGTATAGTATTTTAGGAAAGAAATCAGTAAACAATAAACGGTTGATCTCGTGCATGTGAAAGTCCCTTTGCTGCGCATCCACCCTCATGCCCACGTCAGCTGGTGGATGTGTCTTCCTTGGGGTTTACCAGCTTGGAGCTATACGAGATCCAGGGCACAAGACCCCTGCCAGACCAGAGGTTGGGGGGATTTGAGACACCTAGGTCCCTTGGGGTTCCCCTCTCCCTGCCTGTGTGTGACCTGGGCTTCCCCATGGTGTGGGCAGTGGCTGGCGCTTCCTTCTCCCACCTGGACTGAAACAGCAGGACAAGACCAGCAACCTCCCGTCATCCGTAGTTCTCTGAACACATTTTCCTGAGCACCTACCGTGCATTGGGCCTTGTGCCCTACTTTTTACTTATATTATCTGCAAATAACTCTAAACATCCTCAAGCATAGAGATGAGCCTCCCCATTTCCATATTACAGAGCAGCAAACAGGTGCTCCAAGAGCCCAATTTCCCCCAGGAGTCCCAGCTAGTGGAGGTGCTGAGGAATCCTAGCCTCACCGGGGCGACTGCGGAGGAGGCAGTGGCAGCCCTGGCTGGTTGAAGAGAGAAAAGAAATGAACCCTGGTAAGGCTGCCCAGAAGAGCACCCTGTCGGGGCGTGGGGACCGCACCAGGAGGCAGGAGGCACGCAGCTGCCCCTGCACCGTTGCCTAGCCCCAGCTCAGCGAGACAGAGGAGACATCTTTGCCATCCTGCTGTCTTGTCTCATGGGTGACAGGTTCCCTGCTCTCCCAGCTTGAGGAGGAGTTGGAATCCACTGCAGTCTACCTGCTGCCCTGGGCGGACACCAGCTTCTGCCTCCCCCAGCCCCAGGCCTGGGCCCTGGTGAGCTCATCTCCTATCCATGGGTCAGGCTGGAGTCATCCCATTTTGTAGAAGAGGAAACAGAAGATCTGGAAACTCAGGTTCAGCCACTTGTCCAAGGCCTCATGAGCAGAACCGAGATTCAAACCCAGGTCTCAGGGTGTTGAGGGCAAGCCCTTTCTTGCTGCCCTCCAGGGGATAAAGAGCAGCAGAAAGGCAGCAGGAATACTTGAAAGGTCAGATGAAACTACCCCCACTCTGCGAGGCCCTTTCTCACAGCCCTCTGTGAAGAATCTCACAGGGCCCCTCACTGCCCACCTGCCCTCTCCTGCCCCCAGTGAGCTTGGGAACCTCACCTTGCCCCTCTGAGCCTCAGTTTCCCTAGGTAGGAGTGATACCTGCTTTCTTGGATGGAGGGTTAGAGTAAGGTGGGGGGAAGCCACAGGCCCTCAGGGGGCAATTACTGTTACAAGTGACACTATAGGCTGGGGGCTGGGACCCTCTTCCGTCCTTGGCTGCCCCTCCTGCACCTGCCATGCTGGGCCACCAAGTTGTCTTGTCCCCTCCCTTCTCCACCTCCCACAGCTGCTGCCCCATCAGGGCTGGCACCAACTGTCAGCACTGCCCTTCAGGGCCCCTGAGCTGACTGTTAGTGAGTCCAAGGCCCTTTCCTGAGCAGGAGCTCCACCGGGGTCGGGGGGTGGGTATTTTATTATCCCTCTCCAAGTCCCCCTCACCCCTGGTAAGGCCGGCAGGTGAGCAAGGGCAGGGATCTGACTGCTGCAGCTTGAGCTAAAACCCTGGGTCTTGGGAAATTCCTCAGACAGAGGACAAGCTGCCTCTGCCTTCTGGGGCTGGGCTGTGCTAAGGCCTCAGGCACTGGGACAGATTAAGAAGGGCCCTGTGGACCACCTGACTAACCCCTTCCTAGTTCATGGGGATACTGAGGCCAAGTGAGGCGAAGGTGTGGCCTGCCCACAGGCACAGAGCAAGTGGTTGAGGAGCTGAGCAAGGCCTGGCCCCGGAGTAGCTCCTCCTGGCAGGAAATTGGCTGGCTCTGTCCTTATTTGTCCACTGGGCAGTTATTCATTCACCAAACATTTATTGAGCACCTACTGTGTCTAAGACTCAGTGGTGCCAGGACAAACATGAAGAGTCCACGTTTGCCCTTGGGAAACTCCTGTAGGCCCAGAGAAGGACACAAGTCATTCTGACACTAAGACAGGAGAGCTAGAGAGGAGGGGCAAGATGGTCTGCTGATAGGACAAAACAAAGGCCTCCCAGTTAGGCCCTAAGGCCCAGAAGGGCAGAGGACTATGTGGTCCTTGAGCTATTTCCCCCACTTCCAGTGGGAAGTGCCCCCTAGTCCCTGCCTGGGCAGGATGTCAGCTGTATCACAGAAGGACTGGGGAGGACCTCAACCCCTGCGGGACCTGAAGCCCAAACAAGTGCCTGAGCCTTATTTGCTGCACAGTGAGGATGATCAAGTGGGGATGACTTCGGGGGTGTCCAGGAGCCAAGACACCCAGGTGGGTACCCTGGCCTATAGGTAGGTGCTCCATAATCTTTCCTCCCCCGCCCCCTTTCCACAATTTAAGTTCTCTCCAGGATGGTGGCTGCTACCATTTGCTGCTACCCCCTTGCCCCCCGTCCTAAGCCTCCTCCCCAGCCCGTTCCCCAGACACCTGCAGGAGACAAGTGTCCCTCTCTGGGCCTCGGCGACCCACCTTTGTGGTCCCTGCAATGAGAGGGAGCAGAAGGGCCCTGGAGCACCCCAGTAGAAGGAACCAGGGTCAGGATAAAGGTAGCTCCCCATGCCTGGGAGGGTGGACTCGGGACACACTGAATCTGGCCTGGCTTGCTCATCACCTGCCAGGCATGGGCCACTGCCAGGCACAGGGTCCGTGGAATCACTGACCCGGTGGTATGGTCTGAATGTTTGTCTTTTTTTTTTTTTTTTAAAAGATGACCGGTAAGGGGATCTTAACCCTCGACTTGGTGTTGTCAGCACCACGCTCACCCAGTGAGCAAACCGGCCATCACTATATGGGATCCGAACCCACGGCCTTGGTGTTATCAGCACCGCACTCTACCGAGTGAGCCACAGGCCGGCCCTGGTCTGAATGTTTGAATCCCCCCAAAATTCTTATGTTGAAATCCTATCCCCCACGGTGATGGTATTAGTAGGTGGGACCTTTGGGAGGTGATTAGGACATGAGGTCAGAGCCCTCATGAATGGAATTAGTCCTTATAAAAGAGGCCCGAGGGATCTTGTTGGCCCCTTCCACCATACAAGGATCCAGCCAGAAGTTTCCATCTGTGAGAAAATTGCTCTCATCATACATTGAATCTGCCAGCACCTTGATCTTGGACTTCCCAGCCTCCAGAACTGTGAAATAAATGTCTGTTGTTTATACACCACCCAGTCTATGGTATTTTATTATAGCAGCCTAAACATGCTAAGACTCCTGGGCACTATCAGTGGACAGGCAGCTTCTCGCCTGCTATTTCCAGCCAGCCTTGAGCTTAGCATTTATCAACTACATGCCAGGCCCTGCACTGCACACCTTTACCTGGAAATGGTCATCTAACTCTCTTCACAGTGTGTAAGCACCATCTTACAGGTGAGGCAACTGAAGCCAGACAGGCTGCATAGCCTGCGTCAGCCCACATGGCAAGTGAGGGCAGAGCTGGGACCTGTACTCAGGGATGCCCAACTCCAGACAGCAGGCATCGACTCAGGATGGTTCTGTGGTCTAATGCAGTGGTTTTCAAACACCTGGTGGGCTTATTACACCTCAGCTTGCTGGGCGGCCTCCCACAGTTTCTGAGTTACTAGGTTAGGAATGGGGCACAGAGTTTGCACATCTGACAAGTCCCCAGGTGATGCTGGCCTAGGACCAACTTTGCCAACCACTGGCCCAAAAAGCAAGTCAGAGCTGCCAAAAGAACCAGCAATTCTATGTGCATATTTGTATGACCAGCAAACATCCTCTAACACCAGCTCTTAGGTGCAGGAGCTGGGCCCTGGGAACCCAGAGACTGATCGGTTTGGCCCAGTGCCCAAGGATATGGGGACAGTATGGACAAAGAGAGCT